TGTCTACGTACGTACGTACGTACGTACGTACGTGCGCACATACATATACATACAAGCATGCATGTATGAATCTTACACATGCGCACTACCGACAATGACTGACCCGACGGTACACGCCGAGCAGTCCAATATTAGAAGCACTCGCGCGTCTGCTCTGGTCTTTATATTTATGTGTGTATATATATATGTACAAATATACATACACAAACATGTATGTGCATATCTGTATATGTATGTATGTGAGTTTCTGTGTGTAGGTTTTCAAAATCTGTTTTTTGTGCATGCACTCGACTACTTGAGAGACTTTTCAGATTTTCGCACCACGAGCTCCACTCAAGCATGTTCCGCAGGCCTAGTCCTACTGGTCCAACGCCTCGATTGTAGGCTTGCTCTGGTGTAACCCTTGCATCTTCAATGCATGCGTGACCTTGCTGGCTGGTGCCGAACCCTACACCCTGGACCCCAAGCCCGTAAATCCCCCGAAAACCACAGCCCTCCAACCCTTAAACCTTGTAAGCTTTAAAGCATGCAGCGCGAAAATGCTTAACGTCACGTAACCTTTAAGTTGAAATCCAAACCCTCTAACCCTAGACTCGAAAACAACTATCCTAAACTCAGGTCCACTCGATCTCGACCGCACTGTGATCCGATACTTGCCTGGGATTTAGGGTTTTGAAGTGAGTTTGGGGTTCAGGGCTCAGGATTCCAGGCGAGATCTGCCGGCTCGAGTCGAAGTTTTCAGTGTGCATTACGTGGAAGCCTAGCTCGTAAGACTAGGGTTTGGGGGGGCTATCTACACCATCGACCATAGACATAATAGGAATCTGAGGCATTCAGATCCCGTTTGCTTGCAAAAGGCTTCGTCACTACGAAGAGGTTAAAGCGGTATAACACCCAAGCCTACAAAGAACGGATACACCCCTGTTCTCCGGGACGACCCCCGAACAAAGCCCTATCACTAGGAGGTTTTGGTTGCGCAGAGAGATCTACGAGCCCGTTGTCTCAAGTCAGAAGATCAATACACTTGCAGGGGGTTACAGTATCATAGTCTTTTGTGAAGCTTCAGAATGGAATTTATGTAACATGCCATGGGGTTCTTTATGGGTTTCAACTAGGGTTCGTCTTGGGTTCTATGCGGGTTTCAGAAAGTTCTCCTCTTGAAACCAGGAAGTCACTTCTGGCAACTTAGGTGTAAAGGACACACAGGTTCTAGGGTTTCGGGGTTTGGCGCCTAACCCAGAGTTTAGAGTCTAGACGCTCGGTGCTTTGAGAGGTTCTGCATGTTTTGCTTCGGGGTATGGGCGCTCAGGGCTGTCGGATGTAGTTTTCATAGTTTGGCGCCTTAATGAGGACACAACCCACCAAACAAATTCAAGGTCTTCGCCTCCTACATAGCAAAGTTTAGGGATTAGGGCTTAGGGCTTCGGGTTTAGGGCCTTTCAGCTAAATCCTGAAACACCATCTAGTTTGAAAATTAAGTTGTGCCCTTCGTAAGTGGCCCACCATGAGCCCCAATCCCGCGCCCTGAGACCCCGTGGCCGCAAGTCCTGAAATCCTGATTGCCCCAGCGAACTTCGTAAGGAGTCGGTGGATTAGCTCTAAACCCTAAACCCCAAACACTAAACCCCAAACCCTGAACCCTAAGCCACAAACCCTAACCCTAAACCCCAAACC